GTCCTATCCAGTATATATTAGAGTGATACATCCTTAATTTTATTAAGAAAAGAAAAAACCAATATTGATGCGAGCAATTCTTTAATATAAAACACCAGGAAAAATAGGTTTATTTAAAGGATAGATAGAAAGGCCATATCTAGTGAACTGTTAGCGATGTATGAGAATCAAGTATGTACCCTCAAGGGGTGAAGTAAGTCATTATAGGGGTGTCCTTGACAGTAATGATATAGACCAAGGCTGTGCAAAGATTTCCCATATGCTATATATAACAATAGGGGGTGTTAGCGGCTAAAATGACTCTTAATATTGACAGCTCATGAAGATGGTGAATATTGTGTGTTTATAGTGAGAAAGTAGGGGATATTTATAGTTAGGATTAGGCTTCGCCCTTGTGGGAGAGTGGGCTAAATCAACGAGTATGGGGGAGGGAGCCATAACAGCTTGCAGGGACAATGCACTTTGCAACAGCTGCCATCATTGTAGTGACTGATATGCAGGGGAAGGAAATTGGGGGACATTCCAAGTATGACATTTTGGTGTCTTACGTTAGAATGTCTGATAGGTAGCACTGAGATGGCAATGCTATCATGGGAGGCCTGATGGGGGTGGTATAGCTGGGGTGACGTGGGCCTCCAATGTTAGGCCAGTGTTATTGGGCTGGCCGAAATATCTAGTTGACCGGACTATTATATACGCTTAAACATACTAATTAACAGATCTAATACAAGACTTTTATTTTTTAAATATAGGCCAAATTAGACTTATAATTTGAGCCTACATAAACTAACAGACCATATCAGATCTAAAATATTTTACGTAAGTCCAACTTTTAAATCGAAGCCTAGCCTGACTCAGCCTATTACCTCTAGTCAAAAGCTTCCACTTCTGCTATAACGGCTGTATGTTATTAATTGAAACAAACTTTAACTTTAGCAGAAAGAAAAACTGCGGCTTGATACATAAGGGATTTATATAAATAAACATTATTTCCTTTGTAGAAATAGACTAATATTCGAGATAACTAGGTAATTGCAACTATATTCGTATTCTATGAGAATTTCTTCGGTGCTATCATTTTACTGAATTTTTAGTGCTATTGACACTCATAATATGATACGTGTTTTACTTTTGTCAAATCACTTTCTTTTCAGATATTAAAATAAATTATTTATTAATGATTTGATAAAAGTAAAATGTGTGTCATATTATAAGTGAAAGTAGCACTGTAAACAATTAAACATAGTACAACTGTTGCACTTAAGAAATTCTCGTATTCCATGCTCCCTTGTTCCATGGCAATACTTGTCTCTATATAATTTTATATGAAAAATACGAATTACATGTATATATATAAGGGTTTATCGTTTTTCCTATTACAGGGATAAAATTATCTCCTACAACTCTAAAACTACGCCGTTTTGAGAGCTAGAGAAATTAATAAAGACTGTTTTGGTAAAATTTATATAATAAAGAAATAAATAAAATTACAAAAATACTCTTCTTTAACTCTCAAAACAATGTAATTTTAAGGTTACATAAAATAATTTTATCTACTATGACAAGAGAGATATTTTTCATATATATATATATATATATATATATATATATATATATATATATATATGTTTTTCTCATGTTACATGAGAAAAAACATATTTCTTACACACTCATCAAAAGATGCCCTCCTTGAAATTTTTTATTTAAAAAAAAATAGGTGGGTCTCACATATTTTGTGTCTATAACATGAGAAAAATTATTTTACGTGACACGAGAGTCATTTTTCACATATTTTGTGTCTACAATATAAGAGAAGTTATCTTGTGTGACATGAGAGTCATTTTTTCATATATGGGATCTATTAATCTCATGTTGCATGAGATAATTATCTCATGCAACAGAGACAAGATGGTGGGTTCTATCATTTGTAAACAAAAAAGAAAAAAGAAAAAATAATATGAACCCCTCTACTTTATCTTTGTTGCATATGAGATAATTATTTTCCTTCCTTTATATGGTTAATTAATTAACTCAAACTTATTTGGCAACGGTAATGAACCTGCAACTTGAAGGTTGCGTAGCTATTAAGAAGCATTTTCTGTCAGAAACTTTGTGTAGACAATAAGTTTTCTTGTCTCTGATAAATGCCCTTTGGTTTGTTACGCTCAACTAAATAGAATCCCTCAGCACCACTAACTGGGTTTGTTGAAAGAAAAATGTACTTACCAGCTTGTGCACTTTGAAATAATGAAAAGGTTTCGCCAAAATTATTTTGATCAACCACCAACGTAACGTATTAGTTTTGTGACTATCATTAGAAAAGAATATCTCTGATGGATTGAGTTTTTTATTCTCTTACAAAGACAACCTCATGAAAGAGATGATGGGTCTTTTATGGCAAATAAATCACATTTTGAAAAGCAAATTCCCTGTTGGAACACTTGTTTTCACACTTTTGACCAAAATTAGAAAGGATTCTTCTTCACACAGTCCATAAATCAGTCCTTCGTTACTTAACTCGCAATTAACTTTTTTATTCTTCCTTTCGGCCAGTATTGAAAAGTTTTAATTATTTTATTTTTCGGAAAAAGGAAAAGAAATCTCACATTCCATTAGGAAAATTTTGAAGTCAAAATTTATTTATTTTTTAATTGATTCATTGATTACTTAACTAATTCGATTTGAGTTGGATAGGACTAAAATGGTGGTAAAACTCTTCTTACCGAGTTTTGAATACATTGTGAATTTAAACTCAAGATCACTAGTTAAATTTAGAATTAATGTCTAAATCGAAAGATTTGTACATGTATTTGAATGGAGATTGTTCAAAAAAAATAAAGACAAAAGTTAAAATTGGATTATTCAAATATAATGAAGTTCCATATTTAGGTAGTAAGGAGTTAAGTAAAGACTATATAACGAAAATAACTCATAAGTTCAATACTGTAAGATTTTGAGTTAAGATTTTTTGTTAGACCCATTTGCTATGGTTTTATAACTTAACTTATTAATAATCATCCCTTGTCATGAGTTTCCTCTCACCCACCTAATATTATTTTTTTGTTGATAAACCACATGTATTTTTTAGGGAAGACAATTTTATTCAAGGCGGATCCAGAATCAAGAATTTTAATTCCTCCTAAAAATAATACTAAAAAATTGAACAAATATTCTCACCCCACCGGCTCAACTCTTATGGAGTGACCCCACTTGATATAGATTAGGCTTAGGTTAAGTGAATATTTGACTAGAGGCAGGTTAACTATTTAAAGCGGCAGGAGTTGGCGGATTGAGGCCCGCCTGACAGTTAGGACCTCTGATACACGGACACAGGTTTTTTTTGAAAATGTGCGTGTCGGACACGTGTCCGACACAGACACGCTCCGACACGTTCTGACATGCGTTCGACACGCGGTTAACATTTTGGGACACGTGGTCAACTCTCCGACACGTTTTTTCGACACGCAGTCAACTTTTTCCGTCACGTGGTCAACGCTCGGACACGTTTTTTTTTTTTAGTTTTTTTATTAACTAAAAATAAAAAAAATCATTTATAAATCAATTTTTTTATGTTATAAAATTTGACATGAAAAATTAACAATGTACGAAATTTATTTTTTTTATATTTATGTTATAAAATTTGACTATTTGATTGATTATATGACTCATTATAGACTGTTATATGTATTAGATATAAATTATATTATATATATTAAAAATATTATTTAATATCAAAACGTGTCCTAACGTGTCAAAAAATGTCATTTTTAAAAATTAACGTGTCGGTGTGTCGTGTCGTGTCAGTGTCCGTACATCATAAGTTAGGACACTAGAGTTTACTTTCTTTTACTTTAATAAATAAGAAATGAACTATATCATGATTTTCTGTTCTTATAGGGTTTTGAATGCTTGCATGGGTTAGCTTGCAGAGGTCTTGTCTAGGTCTGCTTTGCAAAAGAACCTATGTACCAAAAGACTATTGCAAGTACAAATTTGGAATATATCTTTTCACCTCGTGTGGACTTAACTGCCCTCACTTTATTAATTGATAATTAAGCTCCTTTTTGATCCCATAATTATCAAATCATGATATATTCACCAAAATATCATCAGATTCATTTTACAGGGAAATAACTTATATGCATGTTAACAGTTTAAGAGAATAATGAAACGACTTTAACGCACATTGTTGAGATATATAGTCTCACATTGGTTGTATGTGTAACTAATGTGGAGTTTATAAGACCTTGGGCACTTCCACCCTTTGAGCTAACTTTTGGGGTGGTGTATCCCAAGGTTCTTTACATGGTATCAGAGCCTCGCCGCCCCCCACTTTCTCTTGTGGCGTTTCTTAGCACAGGTAGGCTGGGCCTGTTGCATTGTCCACTCTTCAAGCTCAATGGGCTCTCGTGTGAGGGGGCATGTTGAGATATATAGTCCCACATTGATTGTATGTGCAACTAATGTGGAGTTTATAAGACCTTGGGCACTCTCACCCTTTGAGCTAGCTTTTGGGGTGGTATATCCCAAGGTTCTTTACATGATATCAGAGCCTCACTGTCCCCCGCTTTAAAAAGTGGAATTAAAATAAAATAAAAAAGCACAAAAGGTAAACCAAAAATTGGGCCTGTGCAATTCCACGCTTCTAGCCCAAAGGGCTCTTGCGTGAGGGGGCGAGATATATAGTCCCACATTGATTGGAATGGGAAAATAATATGACCTTTATAAGGCCTTGGGCACTCCCACCCTTTGAGCTAGCTTTTGGGGTGGTGTATCCCAAAGTTCTTTACACACGTTGCAAAAACAAAGAAAGTAATTCCAAATGTATAATAACCTGCAGCTCAAGGGGGAAAAGAAGAAAGCCTCTGAAGAAGCTTCTTAAACCAATTATTCTATCTTAGTCCTACAATATTTTCAACAATAAACTAAGCATCCTTAAAAGCATGTGATATACCTTGATAAGCTGTAGGTGATCCTAAAGTTTCCAACATCTAGCCATCATGATTTCCTTAGAAGATGTCTATCAAGTAGTGACAGGCACTGTCCCATTATATGTGACCATGATACTAGCCTATGTCTCTGTGAAATGGTGGAAGATCTTCACACCAGATCAATGTTCAGGCATAAACAAATTTGTGGCAAAGTTCTCAGTCCCACTTTTGTCATTTCAAACCATTTCTTCTAACAACCTCTATGAAATGAGCCTGAAACTCATATATGCTGACTTTGTTCAGAAATTGCTTGCATATATAGTCTTAATAGCAATCACTAAGATCACTGCCCGAGGAGGCTTAAAGTGGATCATTACTGGGTTGTCATTATCAACACTTCCTAACACTTTGATTCTGGGAATCCCACTCGTGAAGGCTATGTATAAGGATAAAGCAGTTGTTTTCCTAGCACAGGTTATTTTCTTGCAGAGTATGATCTGGTACAATTTGTTACTGTTTCTTTATGAGCTTGATGCTGCCAAGACCAGGCTTGCTTCACAACCATCACAAGGCACAGGTAGGCATTTATAATTGGTCAAATATCAATTTAGATACATCCCTCATTTTCATTTTCCAATTTCTTCTTTGATATCATGCATTTGACATTTGATATTCCCTATATTCAGTTTTAAATTATGTAATAATATATAACTTTCGATCAATTAATCTTGTTTAGCCAAATAAAGTAATCTGAGACAGTTAAAGTGGGGCCACAACATATATATTTTAACAATCTGTTATATGCTCCTTGAATATTTATTGCTCTGAAACACAATTTTGTTTTATGAATTATATCCTAGTTCTTCAGCAACATATAAGTAAAACTAACACCTCTGCTAAATCTAGATGCCCAAAAAACATAGATAGTTAGATAGATAGATATATTGAATTCAGAAATAGAATGGTGTCATTTCTATTTTCTCACATCTCAGTTCTTGATGTGTGTTTAAAGGAGAAACTGATACGGCTCGTGAAGTACAATTAAAAGGAGAAGAAGATGCAGAACCTAGAACAAAAAGGAAATGTAAGATCTTGCCCATTCTTGTCACAGTGGGGAAGAAGCTAATCAGAAATCCTAATACCTTTGCAACTTTAATTGGTATTATTTGGTCAAGCATACAGTTCAGGTGAGAGTCCACAAGAGGGTTGCAGAGGCACTACCAAGTCTTAAACATGTTCATCTCATTCAAGTCAATCCAAGAGATTAATGTATTTCCTGATCATAATTAAGGAGATAACTAAGGTTAATTAACCTGTTGCAGGTGGGGGGTACATATTCCTGAAGTGGTTAATCAGTCAATAGAAATATTGTCCAATGGAGGTCTTGGTATGGCAATGTTTAGCTTAGGTAAAAGAAATGATCAATATGGTTTCTTGTTATGAACTTCTGAAAATTAATAACAATCAAATTCTAGAGTTTGATTAAAAGGTCTTTTTTCTATTTCTTGGTCAACATTTATCAGGTTTATTTATGGCATCACAGTCCAGCATTATAGCATGTGGGCCAAGGATAACAATGGTGGCAATAGGACTAAAATTTGTGTTCGGACCTGCCCTGATGGCTGTAGCCTCCATTGTCATTGGATTAAGAGACACATTGTTAAAAGTGGCAATTGTTCAGGTGATCTTTTCTTTTTCTTTTTTAATATTACTACACTTTTCAGATCATTTAAAGGTACATATATAGTATGATTTTGCATGTGGCAGGCAGCACTACCCCAAGGAATCGTTCCTTTTGTTTTTGCCAAAGAATATAATGTTCATCCAGCCATTTTAAGCACTGGGTTAGTAACTAATGCCAAAGCATCTGTTTGATAACTTTTTTTATATATATCTTGCTTAAGATTCTATATATGATGTTCTTGTTTTTAACTACAGGATCTTGTTAGGAATGCTTATTGCCTTGCCGGTGGAATTGGCCTTCTACTTCCTCTTAGAATTATGAAGGGCTGTGTTAAATATATGGCTACGAACATTGCTGTAAAATAACAGTTTACATAGTTGTAAATTTACACTATTCATTCATTAGTAAGAAAATCTCCCTACCAATAGTGCTATATATGTTGTTTAAGTACATTTGTGGCATAAGTTAAAAGGCAAGAGTTAATCAATGTACCAAAAAAAAAAGGCTAGAGTTGTTAATAGTTAAAAAATTTACTTCTTTTATTTACTTGTCCCTAAATGGGGATATTTTTAAAGGGTAGATTTGAAGAGCACATTTTCGTTTGTGGGATATATTGGTTCCAAAAATACAATAACAAGATGTTTTCTACTCTTAGACGCGATTTTGGCTGTTGTTTGAGTAAGTTTTGTCTGATTAGAATAAATTTTGACATTGAAAATTTTGGAGTTATATAAAATATATGTGTAGGGATAAAGATACTTGGCTTTAAGATTTAAAGTTTAGTATTAATATAAAGAAAGTTAGTACTTGGCTTTTGTATCACATCTTTTCACATTATTATACAATAAAAGAATATTATTTAGAGTCTTTATTTATTTTATTTACTCCTTCTACACTTAAAACCCTATAAATTCAACAGGATATTCGAGTCATTGTATTTGTATCCATAATGGTATCTCATTATGGTTGTATACTTGTATTGAGTTCATGGTACTGCCAAACCTATATTTTGTGTTTTTATTTGCTCCCCATGTCTCTTGTGACATTATTGTATTGAATTTTTAGTCTCAAGCTCTTGTTTCATTACAAGTACCTTTCAACTTTGTATTAGAGTCATAGTATCCACCTGGCGAATTTGTTTCTTCTTGCCACTGTGTTAAGTTACTCCTCACTGTTGTTCTATTTATTTATTTTTTAATATAGATTAACTCCATTATAATATTTTAAAAAATATAATATATTTATTATGTCTTAAAATATTTATATATTTAAAATTATCTTTAAATATTATTTTTCATATTTCATTATATTTTTATAAATGTTTTTAAATAATTAAAATTAAGAGTATAATATTAATATAAATAGAGGATGTTGTAAATAAGCAGGCCTAGGACGGTTTGAACATCGGATCTGAGCTCTTGCTTATTGGGCCGATTATGAACCCATAATTCTTCTACGGATTTGTGAGTTTACTTGCTTATTGGGCCGACAATAAACAGTACCTTTTCGCTTTATATTTTCATTATAAAAAAGTCTCTTCATATTATAAGAGTTTTTATAAAAATTTGTTTGACTTAACTTTTTCTGAGAAAAGAAGTTTAAAAAAAAAAAAACATCCAAATAGATGCCAAAACTTAAAAGAGAGAGAGAGAGAGGAGAGAGAATCGATGAGCCCAATAATGAGTTTTTTAATGGAAAATGGACATTCAAGGTGGGAACTATACGCTCCTGTAAATTCAACCGAAGCAAACTTAGGATTTTGCATTGTACAATTATACGCTAGAGTGTTTCTTAGCATAACCAGCAAACTTAGAGCAAATGAAATAAGTGGGAATTATTAAGGGTAATATTTCTCTCAAGTTGCATAAGAGAGAAATATTTTTCCACACTTACATAGTCATATTGATAATTGAGCTATTATTATTTTTTTTTCCTTTCTTGATGTGAGAGTAGGAAAATATTTCTCTCTTATACAACTTGAGAGAAATATTACCCAATTATTAATATTGTGAAAGTTACCACACGAAAATAAATACAAATGACATTATATGAAATGTAAAAAATATTTTGAATTGTCGCTACAATTTGGTATATAACACCATCTATATCCTAATTTCCTAGAATATCAAGGTGAGATGTATTTATTGTGAACAATTTCTTTCAAATATTTTTTTTCCGGTAAACTTCTTTCAAATATTTAAATTACTACGTAGATGTTCTATGTTTTGGACAGGCTTTCTTAGGCTTTTTGACTCTTTTACTATTCATTAATTAATTAATAATTATTTTGTCTCTTATTCAAAATTATCTACTAATCTGCTCATCTTTAATCGATTAATTTGAAGATTTAATCGATTAAATGGTCAAAACTGGAAAAAATAGTTGATTTGAAGATTTAATCGATTAACTTGATTAAATCTCCCAACATGCAACAAAGGCCAAATCTTCAAGTCAACCATTTTTTTTTTCAGTTTTGACCATTTAATCGATTAAATTTTCAAGGTAATAGATTAAAGAGAGGCAGATTGGTAGATAATTTTGAATAAGGGATAAAATGATTATTAATTAATTAATGAAGGGCAAAAAGATAAAAAGGCCAAAAAGCCGGCTTTCTTAACCCAATGCATATAGATTGGCCTGTAAAAGTTACTACCCATGGTGAACACATAGATCTCGAGAGGAATTATTGTGGTCCGAGTGTAAATAAGAGGATAAAATTGAAAAAGAAGAAAAATAACAAGGGTAAAAAAAAAAAAAAAAAATTAGTGTTGTGAGAAAGAACACCAAATCATTATGTGATCCTGGAGGATAACTTATAGAAAATATTTCCATAGATCTCAATATAGAAAATCTCTTATTTCCTTGCATGACTCATAACTTATCATTTCTTTTGTACCCGATAGTGGTGCAATTTCTCGTATACATCACTGAGGTAGTGGGTAAAATGGTTAGACTTTTTCTTTTTTATTAAAATTTTAATATTATAATATTAAAAAAAAGCAGGTAAAAATAAGCATAAAAATAAATAGATATAATATTCCATCTCCTTCTCTTATGTAATAAATTTTTCCAAAATACTTTTTATCTTTTATTCTAAACCCCAAAATAATAGAGAAAGTTTTATTTTCTCTAACAAGAGAAATTATTTTCTTTGAGAAATTTATTTATCATTTTAGATAATATAATTTGTGTCATTTTCATTGTTGTTAAAATCTTAATTTATCACTATGATTTTACATTTTTATGATTTTTTTTTACCAAAATAATTTTACTAATATTCCAAACATTTTTATGTTTTTACAATATTTTTACATTATGATTTTACATTTTACGATTTTTTAATCCACTTCCAATTTTACGTAAGATTTCAATTTTAACAACTTTGGTTATTTCACTCTCATAAAAGAGTGAGACTCGCATTTTTATTTTTATTTTTGTCCACTCTCTCCAAGATCTACTTTTTTTTCTCTGAGTTAAAATGACCTACATATATTTTTTTCTAGAATTAAAACTCAATGGAAATTCCAAATGGGCAAACGACAACATTTCCAGATCGAACGGTGGGGATATTGTTTTCAGGTATCTTGAGAAAAAAGTGAGATGTATTAAAAAAAAAAAAGAAGGTAAAAAACCTCACCGAAAAGAAAGCTGAAATTAGGGTTTGAGGTATTTATTTATCTGCACAAAGGCACTGTTTGGGTGTTCACTCATTCAGGTCAGAGCTCATCTCACAAGATTTCTTTGAGATCCCCATTTTCTCCGAAGCAAGCAAATGGCTAAGGGTCCTGGTCTCTACTCTGACATCGGCAAGAAAGCCAAGGGTACTCTCTCTCTCTATATATATATATATGCTTGTGGTGTTGGATTTTTTAATTTAATTTTTTTTTGTGGGCTTTTATTTAACTTGACAGAAATTTTTATGGGTTTTTTTGTTTTTGCTGTAGATCTTCTGTTCAAGGACTACCACAGTGACCAGAAGTTCACCATCACCACCTACTCACCCACTGGAGTTGTGAGTTTTTTTTTTTTAATTTTTTTTCCATTTTTATTAAATTTTTGCAGCACAATGCATGACATGGGTATTATAATGTTGGTAAAATCAAGGAGCCACTTGAAGTAAGCTCGAGGGTTTTGTTGGAAGATTCGTAAGCTCTCTTATGTATATCTTGACTGCGAGAAAAAAAAAATTTATTAATTTTTAAAATAACAAAATTTGTTTTGGGTATGTATTATGACAACAATGTATGTTCTGGTTTTCTGGGTTTTCTTTCAACTGCAAAATGTTGGCTTTACTTAATTATAATAGAAAAATAGCTTCTTAGCCGGAAGCTTTCTTAGCTGCATTTTGTTTTGGATAAAGAAAAAACGATAATCCAAATAAGCAGATCCTGTTATTTAAAAACGAGAAAACAGATTATGATTCATATTCCTTGGTTATTGTTTTGTTTTGGGTTTCTTAACCTTTTACTGATAGTTTTGCTTTCTGTCATATTTTGGTTTCCTCATTTACTGATTGTTGGACTGTAGTTTTCTATAGGCTTCGCTTTTCCTAAATGTTCTTTTAGTTGCTTTGTGGGAATACTCTAGATGTAGCAATCTAATTACATGATTATATAAAGTACTATGAATTAGAAGTTAATTTATGCTTTGACCTTTTTCAGAATTGGATTTTCCTAATCTAGTTTTTTTTATGTAAGTGCACAGAGCCTGGTTGTGTATGTTATCAGGCTTGTGTATACTTTATCAATAGTGGCCAGAGATACTGCTATTGCATTAGAGGGGAGAAGAGCCCATCCACTCCCAAGTGCTCTAGCTCTGGGGTGCTGCACTTTGCGGCAAAAATCAGGTTTTCTAGGTTTTGATTGGGGTTTTTCTGAAGTTTTCAATGCAGCAGAGCCAATGAGCCTCCTTGTTTGGGTTTTGGTTTAATTCACATGACCCCTTTCTGTTTTACTCTCAACTATCCTCCCCTTTGGGCCATCTACCATTTTGGCAATAGGCACCCTCAGTTTCACGTGCTTGTATCTTCTGGCCATTTTGCCTGCAGCTTTTTGCCATTTTGCCGGCAGCCTCTATAGCTTCATCTTTCTGTACACACTGCCATCTTTTTCTGATGCTGTTGTCTTTCTATCCTCCAACCCAAGTCCACATAGACAGGTTGTTAAAAAGTAAAAGACATCACCGTTCTGGTTTTTTACCTTTGATGATTTACGTTACTGTCTTTTTGTTTTTGGTGATTGATGTAACTATTCATTTTTTGATAATTGACATCACTGTCTCTTTTAAATATTACATTTTTAGTTTAGTTACGTATGCTTGTTAGACATTTGTTATTTGCATTTTAACTTTTTAATAGCACTTTTCTAAGTTAGTTGATAAATTCTCCTTAAAATTTGAGTTTAAACTCTGTTTATTGTTCATTTCTTAATGGTTTAAAATTTTAACTTTTAAAACTATTAGGATTATCAATCATGTGTGTTTGACAAATTTTCTTATTTTTTCCATTACAGCCACTATCTTTGTTGTAGCGGTCACTATGGGATCTGCTTTGTTGCTATAGCATTTATGATTGTAGCCACTCTTCCCTGCATACTGCCATGATTTAATTTCTATACTATTTAATGTTTTAACTTGTAATATGTAGTATGAAAGTTGTAGCATATGTATAGTAAAAAGGTATAGTGTAACCTGCATCATCTAACTACCCATGATGAAAGGTAGTATATCAGATGCAGTTATACATGCTTAAACTGATCCTGTGTAACCCATCTGATAAAATTGACATCCATGATTTCAGTACCATTTTAACCTCTGTTTAGCAATTTATGTCTTATGTTTTTATCTTGTACTGCAGGCTATAACATCAACAGGAACCAGGAAAGGTGAACTGTTTGTGGCTGATGTTAACACCAAGTTGAAGAAGAACAACATCACTACTGATATCAAAGTAGATACAGATTCTAATGTAAGTTTGACATTCCTTTTCGAGGATATTTGTTAATCTCTGTTCTTAAGCTTCAACTGAAACCTATACTGCCTTGTTTCTGATTTATTAAACCAACTTTGATTTTGATCTTTATTTTAATACCCTTGGAAGGTGTCTTACCAGAAGATTCATTTGTTGGTTTATCAGATTTTAGTGTGGGTGGCTAAGGGACTATTGTGGTCCAGTGCATGTGTGCATATTGCACAATTGAAGTTTTGGATTTACTAAAATATGGATACAACTATGCTTATATTTAATTCTTGCATAAGCAATGCAAAATGGAATATGGTGGTTGTTGATTGAGAAATTTGATTTGTTTGCTTGTAGCATCTTAACCTCTCTTTTTTTACATGTAAGAACAGTACCATATATAAACCAAAATCTTATACTCATTGCAGTTTATATTAATTTGATTTTTTCTTGAGTTACTCTGACCTATTCATGACTTCTATACTCCTATAGTCCTATGATCATTTCACTAAAGTTGATTAATGCTTGTGCTTGTGCATTCCAGCTCTTCACAACTATTACCGTCAATGAGCCTGCTCCTGGTTTGAAGGCTATTTTTAGCTTCAAAGTTCCTGATCAAAGGTCTGGAAAGGTAAGATATTCAACCATTTTGCATTATAAGCATTCAAAATACAAAGGAAATCCAGGTGTCTGTAGAGTAAATTACATAGTTTGAGAAAACAGCCTCATTAAAACTGTGTAAAACCTAGAGCTCTTGCATCCTGTTCCTTCATGTCAGTAATTGGCGATGTCTGTTTTATGGAACAGGTGGAAGTTCAGTACTTGCATGACTATGCTGGAATTAACACCAGCATTGGGTTGACAGCAAATCCAATTGTCAACTTCTCTGGTGTTATAGGAACTAATGTTCTTGCTCTTGGTGCTGATGTTTCTTTTGATACCAAAATTGGGGAGCTAACAAAATCCAATGCTGGATTGAGCTTCACCAAAGATGACTTAATTGCCTCACTGACTCTGTGAGTAATTGTTCCTCCTCTCTGAGGCAGTGTTTGTAGTTAACTGTGCATTTATTTCACTCCAACCTGAATCTTAGCCATTACACGTGGGACCTATGAAATTTTTAAATTAATCTTATTTAAAATGAATGATGAATCTCAAACTTGTTTTGCTTGTAAAATCCTGGAGAAAAGGCCATACACATTTTTTTTGTTCATGGCAGTAGAGCCGATCAGTGAACCTTCTGAAGCTCCATTTTGTTTTGGTCCCCCCCGTTCTCTCTCTCTCTCTGTGTCTCTCTTTTCTTTTCTCCTCTCCTCTTGAGATATGCCTGTTTACATATTCTGTCCAAACTATCCCTCAGCCCTGTGCGTGTGCTGATTGATAGTATGAGGTTGTATGTTCTATATGTGACGAGTTCTTGTGTGCAGGAATGACAAAGGTGATGCTCTGAATGCTTCTTATTACCATGTAGTCAACCCCTTGACTAGCACTGCTGTTGGTGCTGAGGTGACTCACAGATTCTCGACTAATGAGAACACCCTCACCCTTGGAAGTCGGCATGCATTGGATCCATTGACCACATTGAAGGCTCGTGTCAACAACTTTGGCAAGGCAAATGCTCTCATCCAGCATGAGTGGCGTCCCAAATCATTCTTTACCATTTCTGGGGAGGTTGACACCAGGGCCATTGAAAAGAGTGCTAAGGTTGGATTGGCTTTGGCTCTCAAACCCTAAGATTTTGATCCATCCTGGCAACAGCATTGAGGTAGACATTAGGACTTATTAAGCCTGTCAGACTGAATTATTTTCTTAAAGTTGGTTCTCTTCTTGGGCAAGAAGTTGGTATTTTATTTGCATTTGAGCAATTCAACCGTGTAAAAATAAATAGGTTTTCTATAAACCAAATGTTACTCTTAAATGACTACAAGCTCAGCAAGCCTTTTTTGTTGAACTGAGGATTGGTACTCTTTATTGAGGTTTTGGCTTGCGAAATTTTATACCTTCTGATTTGATGGTTATTTTCCGCAATTTCCCCTTACACACATATCTTCTGATAAGATGATTGTTTTCCGCAATATCCCCTTACATTCATGTGTCCTTTCAGGTCTTGGATGCTATCGGCGTTAAATACTTGGTTGTTCGTGTTTTAAATTTCTTTGTAGTCAGCTGTTGTTTGCATTTTGGATAACCACATTCATAATTGGGTTAGATCTTTTTCTTATTCCTGTCAAACCTGCCATCCACCCTGTATCCCTTCTTTTCCATCCCTACATTAAGGAAGCCTCTTTTTTTTTTTTTAGAGGTTACAAGGAATTGAACACAACACCCTACATTACACACACACCCCACACCACTAGGCTAACCCTAGTGGTGCACATTAAGGAAGCCTCTAAATGCTGCTAGTTTGTCTAATTTTTACCTGTCCTTGATTGAGGTAATCGTGTCAGTGTAAGTCTTTAGGAAGAGGCCTTCGATTGCTCCTTTCCTAACTCAATTTCACTTAACTGAGTAATCAGTTTGGTTGCTATGAGGTATGCTATTTGAACATCTAAATATATAGACATACTTATCACACATGTACCTAAATGTCATTGAGATACACCTAAAAACTTGAATAGATTGATGATTTTGATCTTGCACCACGAAATTTTGTATGCAGAGAGTTCCTCTTTGCTTATGTCTTCTGGGAAGCATAACTATCACGTTAATTCGGGGTTTTCGTTTTGACTGCTTACATGCACTATTTTTTGAACTAGAGAAATAGAACTTAGTTCATGGTCGTTTTCTTTAGAAGTAGGTTGACATTTATCGAGATCAAACAATTATTTAGTTGTTTTCAATTTCAATTATGTCATGAATACTTGAAGTTGTACGAGTTCAGAATACACAATGGCTTTCCAGCACATTGACCTGGATTGTGATTCCAATATTGAGGTATCATCAAACCGTGACGAATGTTAAAAGTTAAGAGGAGACACTAGAAGAAGTTAGAGATGCAAATGAGGTTTCCAAGAAACAAGGAACCAGCTACGGTGCTTCAAGCAATAGCACGGATGGAGTTCCTTTAGCCATTACGTGATACTTCCCTGACCCTTCAGGTTATTGAAGAAATTCCTATTCATGAAGCCTTCTTGAACTAAAAAACTCGGATAGCTGATTCAGGGCATAGTACGGTTAATGCGGCTTAACACGAACGAACACGTAGGCAAACATCCTCTTGTATAATCCAGTTTAAGATTGATAACACGGACTTAAGAAAAACCTAGTAGGAAGTAATTCTTACGGAAAGCCTTTTAATTATGTTACTGACATGCAACTTGTCTTATGATTGTCCTCAACTAACGATAAACATTGCAAATAAATAATTAGAACATAAAACTGGAAATTATGCTACTCATTCCGACGGTATGACAAGAGGGAAGAAGCAACTATTTAAGGTTAAATAAGCATTCTCATGATCCAATTAGTCTCCATATTAAGCACCAATTCACCACAAATCCTCAAACAAAACCAAGCATAATATAAAATAAAAAGAGCAACATGATGCCATAAAGCTCACGTCTTGCACGCGCAGGGTCCAAGAAAAGGTAAAACTTATTATGTGGGTCTATAGATAGTCTAAATTTGCATTTGCAAGGGCTGATGACATGATTTGAACCTATAACTCCGTGTTCAGATGGTGACAACACCTACTAAGGCTCCCCTTAAAAAACAAAGCATAATATTTTAACCAAAACAAAAAACAAAAAACTTATGTGTTATTTACTATTCCAGAAAGGCTTGATTTATTAGATTGTGGAAGCATTGGCCTGAAGGAGACCATCCCGGATCTGAACAGCAATGTCCTTCACAGCACCAGGGCCATGTGGTATGAAAACAGATGAGGACTTTGAAGATGCCCCAATCTCCTTTATTGTGTCAAAGTATTGAGTCACAAGCACCATATCCATGACATCTTTAGCTGTTGTCCCAGGTACATTCTCAGAGAATGCAAGCACACTGTCCCTTAGTCCATCCACAATGGCCTGACGCTGGCGAGCTATTCCAAGTCCTGACAGATATTTGGACTCTGCTTCTCCCTCAGCTTTCTTTATTTGTAATATTTTCTCTGCTTCAGCTTTGTCAGTAGCAGCCATCCTCAGTCTAGCAGCTATCGAGGTCACAATGATAAATCAAAATTACAATTACAATCACAAAATGGATTTAAAGAACAAGACAGAAAATATACTAGTTTATCCCAATGTAGTACTAGCTAGTACCACAATACATCTGGGGCCAAAATTGAAATAAAAAAATATATAAGTCCAAAGTTATATTATCATAGAAGCTATGATTCTTTTGATTTGAAACAGTGAAGGTAAAAGTAGAGAGCTACAAAGCAAGTACATATTGTAAACATGCTTGCTTATATATATAGAAGCATCTGATGCATTCAGACCAAAGTGAAAACAAAGAGTTAAAAGCGGCATGTGCACACACTTATGCATGTTATTGATAAAGTAAACTGACACCATTTTTTTTCACGAGACACTAGAAGAGGTTACCTGCATTGATCTCGTTCATAGCTCTCTTGACATTACGATCAGGCTCTATATCAACAATGAGGGTCTGGACTATCTCATACCCGTAAGTTGACATGGCCTAAAACATTAAGGTTGACTTGATTAATTAATCTTAAAATAATTAACAAGTACGATAAGCTTTAATGATTTAGAAAGAGTAATATTTGTACATGAAGAAAGATAAACACAAATAAAAGAGATTATAGATTTAAATAACACCTTTCCAAGCTCCTGTTCGACAGCTCTTGCTATCTCATTCTTCTGCTCAAAGGCAGCATCCAACTCCAACTTTGGCACACTGGCCCTGATAACTGAAGAAATACAAAAAATTATCAGCTTTTAAAGAAGTACACCAATCCATAATCAATTATGCCATAACACAATACACAAAATGTAATTGCTCCACAAACTGGAACCATGAATGCAATTTTATAACAGAATTATGTACAACAATCACTCTACATACCGTCAAAAACGTATGACTGGATTTGTTCCCTCGTGTTGCTGAGCCTATAGAAGGCATCAGCTGCTTTCTCAGCCATGGCACGATATTGCACAGATGCAACCACATTAACAAACACATTATCCTAAAAAAATAATGAGTCAAACAATAACAAGAGATCGTAATAAACTATAAAAAAATAGGGCTTTACTTCTCTCATGTTGTTATAGGAGAGAAGTTATCTTATGTTGTGAGATAAATTAAGGGGGCCCACCAATTTTTAAGAAAAGAAAAAAAAGTGAGACACATCTTTTTATGTGAGTGTAACATAAGAGATGAATTTTATGTAACATAAGAGTATAATTTCCCAAAAAAAATATACATCCACCTTAACCTTAAATTATTAGAGCTGAATATATCCTCCTTAACCTTAAATTATTAGAAAACTTAATTCATAAATCATAATGCAAAACAATGATAACCACTAGCAGTATATGATCAGCAAAATGTACTCAGCTCAAGTCTTAAAAAAAATGAAAAAGTTTAAAATACACATAATCTTAGAGGCAAATTGTTATTTTGACAACCAAGTATAAATTGCTGTAATGCTAAGAATATAATATTCTCAAGATTTTATAACAAAGTAATTACAAATCATATTTATTTTTTTGGGTATAACCTGGAGGTATCCCCATTCAATCTCCTCTGGTCACCTTGTTCTCGGAGTATGGCCCGAAGACTACCTCCCAAAGATTTTTCAAAAATGTGCTTGAGACAGGGTTTGAACTACTGACCCAAGCAAATCTTTGGAAGTTCAGTTGCCAATTGACAGAACCTCTGCCGCACGCCCAACTGAGATATTACTCTCTCAAAATTGCCTATCCAAGGTGTACACACGCCCAACAGAAGGTGGCACTGCAGGTGCCGAAATAACAAAGACATTTTGATATTCTCACTACTAAAATTTTTTACTACCAACTTATTACCTATCTAATCACCATTAGATTAATATTTTCTCTCTCTTCAAAAACTTTTTAACATTCTCTCTCTTTGATCCAATGATGATGTGATGGGTAGTAAGTTAGTAGTAAGAATTGTTGATAGTTAGAATATCCTCAATCTCTTTAAAATTGTAAAACATGAAGAACAAACAGAAAGCTAGCACAACATTTTTATTTTTGTTTTTTTCCCTCTCTTTTTTTATCTTCAGTTTCTGTTAGAGAACAAAATAAAAGCGTTAAAAAGTCTATTAACTTATGGCTTAAGATTTTGGGTTGAAGTGACACTTATCATGATATCAGAGCTTCAGTGAGGTCACGAGTTCGATCCTCACCGTCCCCACTTTCAGGTGGAATTAAGAAAAAAACACAAGATAGACCAAAAATAAAAATGGGCTTGTGTAGCACAAGACATACCAAAAATGGACTTGTGTCATATCCACGCTTCAAACTCAATGAACTTACGTGAGCAGGTGTGTTAGAGAACAAAATAAAAGCATTAAAAAAATTATCACCTAAAAATTAAAGTTTTGGGTTGAAATAACAGTTATCGTTATAATTGCTACTTGACTTTATTATAATGGAAAGTGGGAAATTGCTTTACGCTCCCTGTTCATATAAATCTCGTATATCATACTCTTCAGGATCTAGGACGTGCAAGATCTTCTTCTCTTGCAGAATATTCTCAAGATGATGGGGAGTATTTGGTACATTTTTATATATTTAAATTGAGCACACTTTTTTTAAGTGATTAAATCTTAGTCTATTTTTTCTTAATTAACGAGGTACAATACTTATTGATTTTATTACAATAATACTGGGGAAAGGACACGAATTTGTTATATATATATATATATATATATTTTTTTTTTTTTTTTTTAAATTCTAAATATAGTCAAAGACAAAAGTGTAATGAATTTGAGGAGCCAACCATGACCATCCCTCCTAGCCCCTCCCTACAAAACACACTGTTAGGGACTTTTGCTGCAAGGCTTAGCCTCAAGCTTACAATAAAGCAACATGCTGCCATGCTGGTAAGATAACCAACACTCCTGGTTAATAAACATCTAACTCCAAAAAGACAAAGGCGTATTTATTATCAATTACTTCATAAAAGCATTTCTATGTCTCGACAACATGACACACGAGTTACACAATATCACTACTTGATTTCAGTACACACACAATCCATATTACAAAGCAACAAAGATCTTTTGCTGAACAAGCAGCAACTCAATTAACAAACCAAAATTAACCTGCGTATAACCAAAAGAGAAAATGTCCAGAACTTTTAAGTCATTCCAAACTCTAGCATCAAGCATGTTTCTCGTACAAGTATAACATTTAATTACATTAGTAAGTATTTACTGAAAAGTATATTGACGAATGAGTATGTAAATATCTATGAATAAACATGAGTTAACACCACCACCTGTTTTCTTTACAAAAATACACTCTGGAAAGAAGGAAGACTAAGGAAAGGTGGAGAAAGTATAACAACTTCACTATATCAAATTCCCCACATGAAAGCTGTGCTGTGTATGCTTCTTTTCTTTTCACCTTCTATCAACAAGGTCGTCACGATATAACAGTAAACTGTCTTACGGCTCCCCCACCTTGTTTGAGATAATATAATGACAGAAAACTTTAATGATTCCTCAAGTTTTAAAGCAATTCTCAAAACACAACAGTTTCTGTTCAGCTGATGAGTCTAAGTTGAGGGAACTGAATGAATAGAAAAGCAAATTAAAGAGAGTGGACTTTGATTCTCATCCACTAGGTTTTGGTGACTTGACATAATGATGATAAGGAGAAGCATGTGGACCATTTGGACTAGACAAGATCCTTACAGGTTGACCCTTCCTCGATAAAGATGATGCTAACTGTGTTTGCATACCATTTTTAGAATTTGGCATGGACATGGTACGATCTACACGCACAACCTGGAAGTGATAAGAAGAGATAGCCATATCCTTGAGGTTTTGCAAAGGCTTTAGAGCTTGAACAACTTCACTCATCATAGGTCTGGATTTCGGATCACGGCAAAGGCATTGAGCAGCCAGCTGGGCAGCCTTCTGAGCCCCTTTAACAGAGAAGTGACCTTCAAGGCGAGGATCAATTATTCGGAAGAATTTCCTCCGGTCTACAAGTAGAGGTCTTGTCCACTCCACAAGATTGTGTTCCCCATTTGGTCTATTCTTATCGATGGATCGCCTGCCAGTGAGCATTTCAAGTAGCACTACTCCGAAACTATAGACATCACTTTTTGATGTCAAATGTCCTAATCAGAATTGGCAGTTTAGGTCAAAACTAATACCGCAAGTGTTACAGCAAAAAAAGGATATCAATTGAAAAAACAATTTCTTGTTATAGCAAAACCATATGGAGCTTTCTCACATTTTATTTCATCCCCAGCTCGATTTGAAGATACAGATCATGCACTCAAAAGGAATATCTATAATATGTATTGAAGAAAAAGCATATTTAATAATCTAAATTTATGCAACTTTTAAAGTTTAAAAGTCCTATGGCTCCCTTTCCCTGCTTTTAAGGATGAACCATGTATTTGGTTCTGATACTTGATGATTTGAAGTAGTTGATGCATATCCAACTTTCAAATGTCAGTGTCATGAACCAAACAATCCCAGAAGTTGAAGTTGTAGGGTAAAGGCTCAAATGGTTTTATATCTAACACTCCCCTTTATGCAAAAGCCCTTTAAACTTGAAGCATATACAATGCACAGTCCAATTTATCTTGTGCTGAAATTCAACTTTTATTTTGAAGAGACGGAATGCTAGAAAGTAGCAACACACAAGTAGGCCAAAGTTTTTTTAGTGAGACCTATATGAAATTCACCCAATACTAAAGAGCGTGTTAAAAAAAATGTTTGCTAGCATTTCACATGGTCATAGATAATTTCATATCATATCATAAACTAACTATCCCAAAAGTTTGAGCTGTTAGATGAAAACACATGAATTATTTTATATTTAGCAGTCAACATAATATTTTTAATTTTGTTTGTTATGGATTACAGAAGTAGATATCCCAATCTTTTGTATGGCTTATGCTGGAAAATGGAGATTGGGAACAGGAACTGTTTCTTTCTTTAGCATTTAAAAGATGTCTAGTATAATGATTCATTATGTATAATAGTTATTTATTATGGTTATTTCTTTGTCATTAAATCCATAATGATATCTCAAACAATATCCAGATATACGTAAACAGTGAACAGCTTAGAAATCAAAGAATAATATCAAAGTATAAAGAACAAATCCATATTTAACCCAATTTTCATTTAAAGCAGCAGCCATTCATGAGTTTATTCGTAATGCAGAGTATTTTACAATTATTATTCAGAGATGCACCTACACTGTAGAGATGCAAAACCCTCATTAATATTTTCATAATTCCTAATATTCCATCCTTTAACAGGATCATTTACTTCTGATTTATTTTATAACAAACAGTTCTTCTAACTAGTAAAACTAGGTGAGTAATTAACAGAACAATCTAGTAGATGAAAGGACAAATGCATATAAAGCAATTTGCAAATATTTAACATTTATTATTTGAACTCTTTACAAGCAAACAAAATCTTAAATTTGTAATGGAAAAAAAAAAAAAAAAAAACTTACATTTATAAAAGGTCAAAGAATTATAACAAAAAGGAATTTAGCTTATATCTAATATTAATGCAACAAAAGCAGCAAGTTAAACATTTGGTTCCATAATATCACAAGACCTAGAGACCAATAATATAAACAATCCCAGATACCATTAGCAATCTAGAGCCTGAATCACGTAGTTAAGTCTAAAGTTCATGAAACACAAATTAACATTCAAAAAGAAATAAAAAAGGATCAAAACTCACCAGTCATCACATACTCGGGAGCTGCATAACCATATGTTCCCATAACTCTTGTTGATATGTGTGTCTTTTCCCCTTCAGGAGCATCTTTGGCAAGACCAAAATCAGAGAGCTTCGCATTGTATTCCTAAAAATAATTTTGCTTTTATGATTTTAAGTAGGAGGATGAATAGCAAATAATTAAAAAACCTTTTGCCTAGTTAACTCACATACCGCATCTAGTAGAATATTAGATGTCTTGAAATCGCGATAGATTATGGGCCTTTGAGCTTCTTCATGGAGAAAATTAAGACCTTTTGCAGCACCAAGTGCAATTTTCATTCTGATAGACCACGGAAGAGGCAAGGACCCTTCTGCACGATTCATGGTTTTTACCAGAAAACAATAAACTTCCTTATGCATACAAAATTCTAAAAGCATGGTGCTAAGCAGAAAGAATAATGCCTTATAGGAAGAGAATCATTTTGTTCTTGTTTTTGTTTTCTTCAAGCATGAAAGCCTATGAATTAACTAGCAATCTACGATTCCAAGAATTAGTTGTGAATCAAATACTGTAGTGAATAGGAACGCAGCATTAATGTTTGTCTTATGGAAAGTAGTAACTTCAGTAATGATCAAGCTCATTTTCACCCAAACTTTATCTCGAGTGTAGTGTGACAAATTTTGATTTAATATGTGTGTCAAGAACATCCAAATTTACTGCAATTACAAGCGACTACAGATATAAACAAGCAGTAGTAAAGACATGCAATAGAAATAAAACAGGTTTGTAGAATACTTCTGAAGAGATGGTTCTCCAAACTTCCACGGGGCATAAACTCATAAACCAACAATCTTTGGTGATCTTCAATACAGAAACCAACCAATTTAACCAGATTTTGATGGACAAGATCACCGAGAATATTTAACTCAGCCTGGGAAGGGAAAATAAAACTGTGAATGTTAACAAAGAGGGATTGTAAAAAGAAAGAAAAAAATTCATAGAAGGAAAAAAGTTGAGAAGAAGGATATATAAGTTTCGTACAAGCCACTCTTTGTGACCCTGAAGTCCATCGTGGTTGAGGGTCTTGACTGCAACGGTAAGCCCAGTACCCGGTTTCACAGGTGCAGTTCCATTCTCCTCAATCCAACCCTTGAAGACACAACCAAACCCTCCCTCGCCAAGAAGACTCTCTGGTCTGAAATTCCTAGTTGCCGACTTAAGCTCATTGAATGTGAATTTTCTCAAACGAGAAGAAACCTTCAACTCCTCACTTACTTTTGGAGTGGAAGGGATACTTTCTGCATTACTAGTAGTTGTAGAGGACTCTGGAGGAGCACTTGCTTCCTTTTTGCTTTTCTCACGTGCAGGTGTTTTTTCCACTGATTAAAAAAGCCATAGTTAAACTCAATTATCACTTCTTAGTATCATCACATATATTCAGGATTTAAGAATTAATAAACACTATTACATGACGTGATCCTTACATGCTACACTTTATTCAGCTTCATTACGGGGTCAGTAATACTGTACAGTAACTAAGTACAATCAAACAGAGTGGTACTACAGCATAAAGAATTTGTCCATGGCAGTTCAAAGAAAAACAAGGGTTAAGTTTTCATTATTTTATATGATTCAATAATGACCTCTAAATGTAAATACTATGCTTTGAACCATAATATGTTCTTTCTTATTAGGATGAATCAACAAAAATCTTTTTTTCTTTATACTTTTCTGGTTTAGGAATTGAAGCTATGAAGTTATGACACTACTGAAATTCCATCCCACAATTACCACTTTCCCAAGTTGCTATTATAATTGTAATAACAATTAGACACCTTCCTCTGCCATTTGGGTAAGATCAAATGGAGATAGCACTACTACTAATGCTTACAAAAAGATTATGTAGCTCTCCACTGGTAATGCACAACAAATCATTATTTTGAAACTTAATTGTTTGCCCAAAAAAAAAAGGTAGACCTCCAACTTCCGTAGGAGTAAAAGTCAATAAATCACTTTAACTCTGAATTTGTATTGTTCCTTAAAGCTAAAATTAGCTGCTCAAAGATAAAAAGGTATGGATAGAACCAAAAGAAGTAAAGATAAAAAAGAAAAAAAAAAACTTTCCACCTAAAAATTAATGTTAAATAGAAATTATTTCCTGAAACTAAAGAAATAGGACATATAAGGAAAGAAAATTACCACTGTGAGCACTAGTGCCACTTATGGAGTTATCAACCTTTGATCTTGAAGGTATGCAGCTCCCAATTAAACTGAATTTACCGCAACATCCAATCTTCTTTTCATCACTATCCTTCTCCATCCTTCCCTTTGACTTTCCCACATCCAAACTCCCTGCCTGAATTGCATTATTCTTAAACCCCATCTTCCACAAACTCTTACCAAGAAGTTTCCATACTCAAAAGTTCCCCAAAGTTTCAAACTTCATGAAAAATAAATAAATAAAAATAAAAAGCCACTTCAAGCAACCTCACCTCCAATAATTGAAGACTTTGAAACCCAACATCATAAATTGAACCAAAAGAACAATATCATAGATTTCAATGAAAACAACAAAAGGATCAACACAAGAACATAAGTAAATGACTAAAAGCAACAAAAACCCAGTTCTGAAATTCAGTCCAAAGGGGCTGTAGGTTGAGGAGAGAATCAGTGGGAGATTATTGCATGTGAAAGAGAAAGTTTTTCAACAACGGGCAGGCTTGAAATGTGAAAGTAGGCAACCGGGCAGGGTGGGCAAGAGAGAGAAAGGGACAGCCATTTTCTTTTTGCTTTCTTTGAGAACAGCACTTGCTCCTTTCCAACTTACAATATCTCATTTTTCTCTTTAATTGTTTGACTTTCATTTTGCACTCTGAATTATTTCACAAAAGATAATGTTCTTTTTTCATGGAAAATCAATATAAAAAAACCTAATCATTAAATGAAAATCATAATTGTATATATATATATATTAATTTTCCGTTATATATATATTAATTTCAGTTGCATATAATTGTTGTAATATATTAATAAGCGATTAAAATTAGATGTAAATGTTAAATTTAAGTTATGTATATAGTTCTAAGGTAATGAACGACTTAATAATTAGCAGCAGCACTGTTATTCATGGAAGTGGATTTTGTTATCTGAAAAAGTGATTATGTGATCATATTATTTGATCACAATTATTTATTTAAAAATTGTACATTTTCCTCTTATTTCATCATGAATGATTTGGTTGTAATCAAATAAAATGATGACGTGATATTTTTTTATATATAAGAGGATCCACTATCATTATTCATTCACAATCTGACACGTTATTCTCATTAAAGTGGTTATTTTATGCAATATTTATTTACCCATTTTTCGTGTACTGGGATGTGACAACTCATGACTCGTGAACAATAAATAGAATAGTACCTAACTTTTGGAACATTTTATTAGCCAATTCGTGAACGAAAAGACAATGGAATCCATCATTTTCAATGTGCCCGCCAGGCCTTTAAAAAGGTTGGGTTCTGGGACTGTGTGGCCCAGTCCCGGAGAAAATTTTTGATATACCGAAAGCATTGAATTCGATATTTTTTTAATTAAAAAGGATTAAAAAAAAATTCACCTAATTTTTTTTAATATTAATTTATTTTTTTAATGAACTATCTATCTACAACACTACAACAGTTTTTCTCCAGTCCTGATATCCTTGAAATATTTTCTATAATTGCACTCCTAGCTTTTTTTTTTTAATCTCGTGCAATAAAAAAATGAAAGTGGAAATGGGAGAAAGGATGGGACAAAAGAAAATGAAGAGATGAAACGGAATATTTAATTAAGTGTTAATAAAAAAAAACATGAAGGACAAATCAAGTTGGAAATAAAAGTATGCTTACATACAACATATCAAACAGAGAAAAGGACTAAAAAGGTTTGTTGGAACACGTATAAACAAAGCTATAAGGTACATGACAAAAATAGTAGCACAGAGGAATAAATAAAAAAATAAAAAACCAAACTGATTATATAATTTATTTATTTTTTGGCATGGTTTGATCTAAATACTTCTCGTCCAAGTTATTTATTTAGATCTTCACTAAGCAATGAGTATTCGTTAGTTTATCTTGGTCTCTCTAAATAAGTTACACACATTTGTTACTTAAAATTTATCGTTGAATTACACGGTATATCTATATATTTTTTTGAAGAAATTTAAAGAGATTCTTTTATATTAAAAAGTTTATAATTAAGTTTTTATAGTTTCAAAAATTTTAATTGAATCCCACGTGTTATTAGAGCACCCTTACAAGGACCAAGTAACATGATTTTAAAATATAAGGACTTATATGAACATTTCTAAAAATATATAAAAAAAACTTACAGATATTGAAATTTTTAATTATTTGTTTTTAACATATTAAAATAAAATAATATTTGGCTAATTCATACAAGCTTAGTTAAAATTACAAGTAATATTAATATCAGAGATTGTAACTTATGCTATAATATACAATAATAGGTTAAATAAATAAAGCAACCCAATTAAAAAACTTTAAACTTCTATAGATTTGATCATTAAAATGTAAATCTAGTTGGAGTTTTTCTAAAAGGTATTAGGACTAATTTAACCAAAATTTATATATGCGGTGCACCGACATCAACACGAGATACGACACGACATGATATTCTGACACGTTAATTCTAAAAAATGTTAAATTTTGACACGTTAAGACACGTTTTGATATTATATAATGTTTTTAATTTATATAATGTATATTATATTTAGTATTCAATAATTTAACAAAAAAATAAAGCTAAACTTATAATACCCATCAATTTTGCAAAGAAACATAATATATCCCAAATGTTTATATTAAACTCAATAAAATCGTAATCGTAATTTAACAAATCTAATAGTTGGAACTCAAAATGCAACGTAACGTAACATTTGAACATTTTTTGAGTCTTTGCAAAGAATATTGGAGTATCGAGAAGTGTCGGAGTGTCGAAAAAAATCGGATACGACACGTTAAAATTTTTAAAGTATCGGTACTTCATAGATGCGATCCACTCACAAACTAATAGAGATTCGAGCAACACAAGCCTTAAAATGTTGTATCAGAATGATGAAAGCACATAAGGGTTCTCAAATTTGCGTATTTGTCAATGAAAAAAATACACGGTATTTTTTTTAGAGGACGTTTGGTACGCGATATTTTTCAGGATTTTCGGGAAACTAAATTTTTTTAAATTTTTAATTTTTGGATATTATCGTAAACTGAATGTAAAAAATTATATTTTTGAAAATCGAGATTCTCGAATAAAAAAAATTCTCCTATGCTAAACGCTCCCTTAGATTTTTCTTTTTCCTTTTTCCAGGCTATATATATATATATATATATATATATATATATATATATATATATATATATATATATATATATATAGCTCTACGGCTTCTGGCCACCTATATTAAATCTAAAATGTTAAAAAAATGGTATATTTTGAACAATTGGTCGATTCGATTGACTACTAGTGCTCAACATTAAAAAAGGAAAATTAAAAATCACTGATGAATTATATAACATGGAAGAATATCATACTCAATTTCAACCAAGGTATGAACAATCAAGTTTTGAACTAGTTGAGAGGCATAAGTGGAAAGGGGATTGTTAAACTGTATTTTCTAAATCATGTTGGTACCTGTTTGTTTGCTATTGGGCCTAAAATATATCCTACTGTGTTTATTGGTAAGGCCCACATATATTGATATTTGTTATATCAGCTGCATTACAAATACGCTGCCGTTTTTGGTTAAGTTGAAATTGGTTGATATTATAATACCTATGCTTTCATTTAACGCTGAGGCTCAGATTTTTCAGGGATAACGTGGCATTCATTTTGTGATTCCTTGAGTTCTTTCTCTCTCTCTCTCTCTCTCTCGGTTCATTTTCTTTTTCTCTGAACAAAAAAGGGGAAACTTAGGGTTTGTGTCAAAACCTGTGAGGACGATTTGAGTGTGAAAACTTGTGAATCTCATCTCAAGGCTGTTGAGAAAGTTGTTCCTATTACAAAGATACATAGTTTGATCGGTTTACTTTCTGGAGATTCTTGCAAACGTTGGTGAGGAGGTGTTGCATCGTGGAGCTTTTCTTGGTTGCAGAAGAGGTTGTGAGCTCCCATGAAGTAATCCACGGTTTAGGTGGAGCTGGATGCATGATTGGTGAAATCTTTCCTTTACACGTCTTTAGTTTGCAAGTTCTTGTTTTTATATGTACTGTGATAGTGTACATGTGATGTATCTTTGTAGTTCTATTTTTCTTTCTCTGTTATATGCCTTGTATATGCTGTATTGGTAGAGTTACAAGTTTAGTATCTTGAACTCTTTGTACCTATTATCTGTTTCTGAATAAGAGTGCATGCTAGAGGGCGTTTGACCCTCACTGGCCAACTTGGATGTAGGAAATTCTTTTATAAAGAATTTCTGAACCAAGTATAAATTTCTGGTGTTGTTCTTTATGTTTTCCGTTTCTGTGAGTCGGTTTTCTGGGGTGATTCTTGGTAGCTCTATACCAAGAATTGTAACAAGTGGTATCAAGAGCTTAGGTTCTTGGTTCCTTTTTTCTTCTGGTCAGTATCTGTTTCTGTTCCGTGTTCTCTGTCTTTTTCCCTCTGGTCCTCGTGCTATCTGTTGTTGGAAGCTGAAGAGGATGGGTATCACCAAGGTTGAGGTGGAGAAGTTTGATGGGAGGGGTGACTTTAACATGTGGAAGATCAAGATGATGGCTGTCTTGGTCCAACAGAAGTGTGAGGATGTTGTTGGTCCTGAAAAGGATCTTCCTAATTCCCTGACACCTAAGAAACTAAAAGACTTAATGGCTTTAGCTCATAGTCTAATTGTTGTAAATCTGTCTGATAGTGTCCTTAGGCGTGTTTGTAAGATAACTAATCCTAGAGAGCTCTGGGAAAAGCTTAAGGCTCTCTATCAAACTAAATCTGCCCCAAACAAGATGTTTTTGAAGGAGAAATTCTTTTCCTTCAAGATGGATCCTTCTAAGTGCCTGGAGGACAATCTTGATGAGTTTAACAAACTCACCTTAGATCTGGATAATGCTGGGGCAACTGCCTCAAATGAGGATCAAATTTTGATCCTCTTGAATTCTGTTCCAGATTCTTATAGGGGTGTAAAAGATGCTATAAAATATAGCAAAGGGGGAATGGACTTAGATGAGATAACTGAAGCTTTGAAAGCAAGGGAGGTTGAAATACTCTCCCATAAAAAGTCTCATGCTGAGGGGCTGGTTGTGAAGGGTAAATGGAACAAGAAAGGGAAATTTAAAAATAAATGGAAGGGAAACAATAATGTATCCCAACCTAACCAGAACACACAAGGTAATAAAAATAAGGAGAAGCCAAAAGGTAAACTTACCTGCTGGTTGTGTCATAAAGAAGGGCATATCAAGAAGAATTGCCCTGAAAATAATAAGGGAGCTGAAAAGGCAGCAACTAAAACTGAGTATGCAAATTTACTTAGTGGGTGTGAGGGTGCTGAAGTCCTTATGGTGTCTAATAAGGGCTTTGAGGCTGAATGGGTTATGGATTCAGGTTGCACTTTTCACATGACTCCTAGGAAGGAGTGGCTTGCTGGTTTAAGGTTCCAAAAGGGTGGAAAGGTCCTTATGGGGAATGACCAGATCTGTCAAATAGAAGGGATTGGGGCTGTCAAGTTTCTAATGGCTGATGGCAGCCATAAAATCCTCAAAGAAGTGAGGTATGTCCCTGACTTGAGGAGAA